AAAAAAAAAAAAAAATTGTCTTGCTAATATAATAGCACTGAAATGAGTATCCTTATAGTTGAAACTTTAAGTACTTTCTCAATTATTTTCTTAAGATAAATTCCTAAAAGTGGTATTTCTGTGTCAAAGAGCATACACATTTTTAAGGCTTTTGATGCACACTGTCAATGTTTCATGCAGAAATGTGCCAGCTTTCTAGCCCTACAAAAGTATATTCTTCTGGAAGAATTATTTTCTTTTTTAATTTTTTTTTTTTTCCCTAGAGACAGAGTCTCACTTTATCATCCTTGGTAGAGTGCTGTGGCGTTACAGCTCACAGCAACCTCCAACTTCTGGGCTTAGGCGATTCTCTTGCCTCAGCCTCCCGAGTAGCTGGGACTACAGGCACCCACTACAATGCCCGGCTATTTTTTCTTTGTTGCAGTTCAGCTGGGGCCGGGTTTGAACCTGCCACCCTTGGTAAATGGGGCTGGCACCCTACTCACTGAGCCACAGGCACCACCCAGGAAAAATTATTTTAATAAATGATTTTTAGGATGCTGTGAACAAAGTTAACTGTGTCTGTTTGCTGAATCTGGCTTCTTCCTAGGTTATTGTTACTTCCTACTGTTTCTTTCTTCCTGAAAGGTTTTCTTAAATGTTTTCTCGGAGCCTTAAAGATGGAAATGACCGACATGACTGGCATGTCACTGAAACGTGGGTCCGTTGTTGTTGAAGATAATGACAGCAGGGCCTCAGCTGAGGAAACAAAAAAACAAAAGATCTCAGAATGCAGTCCAACCAAAAGTCTTGATGGGCTAGGGAAAGACTCTCTGCCCAGCAGTGAAGATGTGCCTGGGGCTCTTAAAGCTGTAAGTGCTGAGAAAGATGAAAAGAATTCTGAGGCTCAATTGGAAGAAGAGGAGGAGGAAGAAGATACCCTATCAGAGGATGAAGAAGCAGAGAGCTTTGCAGACATGATGAAGCACGGACTCACCGAACTTGATGTGGGCATCACCAAGTTCGTAAGTCCCCATCAAGGGTTCTCAGGAATCTTAAAAGAAAGGTTTGTTTAGTTTATATGTGAAATTATTTTGACTGTATCAGTTTCTTTTCTTTACAAAGACATTAGCAATGTATTCTTCCGCTTAGCTTTCTGTTACCAAGGTTGTCCACATTGATTGTCAAAAAGAAATAGGATGATGAAAAGCTGCCTGAATGAGTAAATGGATAAGTCTTGGATTTTTTATATCTTAAAATAAATAAAAGTCATGGTCTGTTCTTAACAAGGGATGATCCTTCCTAGAATCAATTAAGTGGGGCAGTGCCTGTGGCTCAAAAGGGTAGGGCACCAGCCCCATATGCCAGAGGTGGCGAGTTCAAACCCAGCCCTGGCCAAAAAAATAAATAAATAATAGAATCGATTAAGTAAAAATACTTAATTTCTCAGGGGCATGCACTGTTTTTTTTTTTTTTTGAGACGGAGCCTCAAGCTTTCCCCCTGGGTAGAGTGCCATGGCATCACAGCTCACAGCAACCTCCAACTCCTGGGCTCAAGCGAGTCTCCTGCCTCAGCCTCCCAAGCAGCTGGGACCACAGGCGCACGCCACAACGCCTGGCCATTTTTGGTTGCAGCTGTCGTTGTTTGGCGGGCCCAGGCTGGGGATTCGAACCTGCCACCTTAGGTGTACGTGGCTGGCGCCCTAGCCTCTTGAGCCACAGGCGCCGAGCCGGGCATGCACTGTTAATACATGTATGTGGATGAGTGCTGTTCATTTTGTCAAAATAAATTTACTTAAATGGTTTCAACTTTTCTCTGGAATGTGTTGTATAATCTTAAACTTTTTAACCTGAATGTGCTACATCTATGGTAGAAGGCGATAGTCTTTGGAGCCAGGTGGATCTGGGATAACTCATCACATCTATGGTTCATCTTACAAGGGTACACGTGAAATTTACTAGGTGTAGAATATAAATGTCTTAACACAGTAACTAAGAGGATGCCATGAAGGCTATGTTAACCAGTTTGATGAAAATATTTCAAATTCGGCTCTGCGCCTATAGCTCAACCGGCTAAGGCGCCAGCCACATACACCTATGGTGGCGGGTTCGAATCCC